GGTCTAATATGTGTAAATGCTTGGCTTTTATGGAGAGAAAGATTTGCTGATTCAGAAATGTATTTGCCACTTTCTGAATTCAAACAAGGAATAGCTGAAGTGCTAATAAAATCAAAAACAATTTTAAAAAAGCGCAGCAGACCAAGCAATCATTTACAGCCTAAACTAAATCTAAAAAAACGGTGTAAATATCCAGAATGTCGAGAAAAATCCTTTGTAATGTGCACAAAATGTAATGTTCACCTTTATTTGAATAAAGATAGAAACTGTTTCTTTAATTTTCATGTAGAATAAATTTAAATCTATAATGTTATATTTTTTGTAATACAATTAAAATCAAATATTACTAAATGTCTTGTTAATTTTTGCTTATACATACTTCAAATTGTGCCATTGCTACATCGGTCTATCTTATACAGGTGTTCAAAAATGTAACTACTGTTTTACCATATTCAATTGCAAAAAAGTCGAAAATTTTAAATGGAACACCCCATATTTGATTAGCTTATCAGGTAGAGAATTTAATTCTCTACAAATCTTCAGTACATGTCCCTATATGTATCTGTTGCAGTTGTTGAGATAGAGCGGAATGAATCAAAGTCATGCAAAGAATGGCAGATAATATTTTTTTTTCTATTAGTAGGCTATGAAATATATGCATGTGACAGCTTTCAAGTGATGCCACCATAATTGTTTGTAATATCACAGGCGGTAAGCATTGACTTGATCCAAATTAAAAAAAATAACAAGTTAACGATGACAAATTAAACGAATTTTTAAATGTCATATTTTTATTAATAGTTTATAGTTTTGTTGTTTTTAAACTAGGAGGAGCATTTTAAATTTCTCACCAGGATTACCCTGCACGTGATTGGTTGAATGCGAGGAAGGTTTATACACAGGCAATTTAGATTTTGAATTTGGAGGTTAGGTTATTGATCATTCGACCGTTTCGTGTCACTATTATCAATTTTGTGTTCTTAAACCCTTTTGCGTGTAATACTTCAATTTAATTGAGTGAAATCTAATTATATTTTAAAATAAATATACTCATAACTTCAATGTTAATTTGTATGTTTAGTGTTGACGATAACAAACGAAAATAAATACAATAATAAGTAAATAAATAAATAATAATAATTATTAATTTAAATTTACCGCCAAAATATCTAGTGATATTTTCTGGTGATTTTTCCTAGTGTAAATCTGACTTTCGCGTTTACTCCTCCTGGTTTAAAAACAGAGTATA